TATATGGTATAAACCAGTTTAGATATAAATGTTGAATCTTAATTTTTGACGTAGAATACGTCTTACCTTAAGGTATGGGGGCTATGTTCAAATGTTGTAGTTGTAATTTTTAGAGCTTCACAAAAACGCTTATTGCACGAGAACTAATAAAGCGATTTCAAAGAAAAGTGTGGCGTTTCAAAGATAAAATTCCAAACCTGTCGACAGATTCATTTTTGTAAATAACCAATTCGGTTTCTGTCGTAAAAACAACGGTAAACATTGCCTTATTTTGGGGTCAATTTTGAGCCTTTAAAGTGCTCTAGCAACTTATTATTGGCATATATAACTTTCATTTTCGGGATATAGGTTCTTTGGAGCAGTAGAAATATTATCGGGTACAAATTTTATATAAATTTAACAAATATTGAGCATTTTAAGGCAAAAAATTGTTGAAAAAATTTGCAAATTTTTTTCATTACCAAAATGCTCGAAAACCGCTCGAATGATTTTGTTTTTGTTTTCTTTAATCAAAAATTCAAGAGTTTTCCTTTCGTTTGGTATATGGGAGGTATTGGTTGATATCTTCTATATATGTTTATTTTATTCAAATATATGGGCATAAATGATTTTCCATACAAAATCACCTCGTCATCATTTTGCAAACACGTGCATATGTTGGAAGTGTGGGAAGGAGTATGTATGCGTATGTAATGCGGCTTTTGATCGCAGCGTATGTACATATGTAAATGCATATATACGTACATATGAAAGTTTCAGTTAATGTGGATCTGTTTGGTTTTGTTATCGATATTTTTATTGATTTTGTTGCCGATATTTTAATCGATTATGCCATCGATATTTTTATCGGTTTTGTTACCGATATTTTCACCGATTTTGTTATCGAAATTTGTATCGATGTTGTTATTGATTTTGCTATCGATATTTTCGGAACTTATCGATATAATGATCGATATTTTTATCGATTTTGTTATCGATTTTGTAATCGATTCTGTTATTGATTTTATTATTGATTATTTATCGGTTTTGTTATCGATATTTTTCTTGATTGTTTTAACAATTTTGCTATCGATATTGTTATCGCTTTTGTTATCGATATTTTTGTCGCTTTTGTCATCAATATTTTTATCGATTTTTCTATAGATATTGTTATCGCTTTTGTTGTCGGTATTTTTATCGGTTTTTTTACCGATTTTGCTATCGATATTGCCATCGCTTTTGTTATCGATAGTTTTATCGAATTTATTACCGATTTTGTAATGGATTTTTTGAAAGATTTTGTTATCAATTTTGTTATTGACTTTGGAATCGATTTTGTTA